CTTCATAAAAAGTGTAGAAAATCATAGAAGTTTGTCACTCAACATAGCACAGCCCCAGCCGTAGCTTCTAGCTCCGCCACTGCGCCGCGCCGCACCGGGGCCAACCCGCCGGGCCTCCTCCTCCCCCCCCCCCAGCGAACGACTCTCCCGCCGCCGCCGCCGAGGGCATCGCAGGCTAAGCCTGCGTGCCACAGCGGCGGTAATCTTCCTCGGCCGGCGATCGGATCTGGGTGGCGGCGATCCATTCTGGCTGATTCAAGGGCGGTGGCGCGGGCCGGCGGCGACCAGGGTTGTCGACTTGGCAACGGCGACGACGGAATCATGGCGGCGACTAGGGCGCCTGATCTGGATCCATATTGGATCTGGGTGGTGGTGTTCCTTGGGCCGTCATGCGTATTCTTTGTTCTGGCGCAGCAAGCGGCCTTTGGACTAGGCCCGCGACATGAGGACGTCGGGGGCTCCGGCCCTGGGCGCGAAGGTGGTGGCCATCCTCTTCGCGCGGAGGTGGTCGGTTGGAGGGTCATGGCTTCTCGCATCCAGTCCGGCGTTGAGCGGGGAGGCGAGGCTGCCGGTGAAAACCGTGCTATAACTCCGGTCATGGCGGGCGATGGCGGCGTTTTTGCGTTGTTATCTTGTTGAAGACATCACCACTGCAGCTTCCGTCGACTTGCTTGCGCTGCTCTCAGTGAAAACCTAGACCCGGGGTTCCCGGGTCGGACGATGGCGGCGCTTTTGACGTTGTTCTTCCTCATGGGGGCATCGTTTTTGAGTAGCGGCTGGATGGAGGAGACAATTGGTGGAGCGGTTTTTCATTTACCACGTTGGTGACGGCGGATCTCGACGACGTGGTGCAGTGGAGACTCGGCGTCCGATGCGCGGTGATGGATTATCGACGACGGATGCGGCTGGATGGATGAGCGCAGGGCGGTGGCGCTGTATGGCGCCATGGTGGTGTTGACAGCTGGCCTGGCAAGGTCTTTGCGTCGGTACATGCTCTGGAGATGGTTAGGTGGATGACGGCGGCGATAGCCTCGGTGAGTGCACCGGACCGGTGTGTGTCCCATTCCCTGTATGTGGCTGGGATGGGGCATCCGGCAATAGATGTTAGGTTTTGGTACGATGTCTGTTTGGTATTAAGCTCGGACATTCGGCACCTCCGCATCAAGGGGATAGGAGTAGCGACATGTGTCGCCAGGATGGTGGCTTCAGGCTTACTGATGTAATGCTTTGTAAGGTCTCTGAGAATAATTAATAAAATGGCTGCATGCATTGCTTAGATGCAGAGGCCGGGGGAAATCCTCCTTTTCTAAAAAAAAACCCTCGCCGGTCTCCTCAAGAGTCACTTAGAATCAAACTTCCATGCCCAATGGTTGGGGATGTTGCCTCAGTTTGCTGGACAAGGGTCGTGTTGGACTGGTTGATGTCGCCCATCATTGGCTTGCTCCTACCCAAAGATCCTCGAATGCATCGGAGAAGCCACGGGACTGAAGATCCACATCATCCTGAAGGTAAAAGACATGTTGCATGCCGTACATTAAGAGAGGAGGCTACTGAGAGGGGGAGCAAACATATCTACGATACCTCTACATGTCCTTATGTGATTTTTGTCACAATTTTCTGAAACTTTTAATTACCTTATTCTAAATTGTCGAAATGCTGAGCCTGGGAGCAAAAAGTATGCCACTCTGGTGCGCCAATATATGCCGATATCTAGCATCGTATCAAACTAAATGGCTTTATATTGGGAGAAAACTAGCATAAATGAACAATCATCGTGACTCGTAAAGATCCAAGTCATGTGCAACTTTGTAGTTGCTTGTATAAATGTATGTCGACAACTAAGATCCTATGGAATGAGATGTGAGACAATGAACCGAAGTGGCCACTCGTTGGTGACTAAGAGAAAATCCAAGTCATGTACAACTTTCCAAAACCATTTGTTGGATAAACGAATATGCACAGACAACATCTTGTCGAATTAAATGTTTTTTTTGGTTGTGGCTCAGGTGGAGGGACGACTGTGACTAAAACGAAGTCCAAGTCAAGTTTTTTTTTTCCTGAAAAGAGGGTAAAAGACTCCGGCCTCTAAAAACCCAAGTCAAGCGAAATTTCTGAAATTTGTTCCCTCCTTGCAACTCACTTCCCCTCTGCCTCCCAAAAAGTAGAAACCACACAATATTATTACTTTACGTCTCCTCATAAGTCTCTTATAAGAAGCTTTATGCGGCCACCATGATCGTGTTGTGCTGGTGTTGTGCTGGTTTGTGCTGGTTTATGATCGTGTTGTGCGGCCACCATGATCGTGTTGTGCTGGTTTACGTCATACTGGGGTTGAAGAACACGCTGGTGCATAGAAGGGAGCAAAGTATGTAGGACACAACTACATGTCCTTATGGTATTTTTGTTAGAATTTTCTGGAACTTGTAATTACCTTTTTCCAAAATTTTGAAATTCTCGTCCCCATGAAGCCCGGAAGCAAATGTCTGCACTATTGGTGCGTAAATGTACACCGTTATCTATCGTCCTATCAAACTAAATGCTTTTGTCGACACCCAACAATCACTATTACTCAAATAAATCCAAGTCAGTTGGCACTTTCTAAACCAGTTTGTTTCATAAATTTTGTCGACACCCAACATTCTATGGAACTAGATGTGAGATGATTAACTCACTTGTAAGTGACTAAGATAAAATCCAAGTCATACAACTTTCCAAATTCAGTTGTTGCGTCAATCGTATGTAAACACACATCATCTTACTATAATTAAATGCTTTTGTGTTTGTGGCCTGGATTGAGAGACGACTGTTTGCTGGTGACTCGAATAAAATCAAAGTCAAGTGCAATTCTCTAAACTATGTTCCGTCCTTGCATATCACCTTTAGTACATTAGGTAACTAGTAAATGCGTATGTGCAATGCGCGTTGATATTAGGGAGAAAACTAATGGCATGTTGATATTACGGTTGCAGTCGATATTTGTAATGTCCCTTTGGCTGGTGGCAGCAGATTGTGACATGATGTTGCAATGACGTCTCATGATGCATTGTGTCAGGACCGATGGCCATGCCCAAATTTACCATTGACATACACTCTGTGACGGACGCTTGGGGTTGCTGGTGTGTCCCGGATATGAGATTTTGGCGACACTGTCCTCTCTCGCCAATTGATCAGTGACCCACGTCACACGTGCATCAACACATGTTCTTAGCTCCGCAAATGGCCGTTGGCGGCTGCGTCGTTTGTGTGCTGTCTGTATGGTTTTCAGTTTGCGTGGTAATGTCCATGTCCATATCGTGTGCGCTTGCATCATCTTCATTGGGTTTGGTGTTGTTCGCCGTGGTTCGTCGTTGATTTTCTTTTGTTTCTTTTTTTCTCTGCGAATACATAGATTCGGTCTTGTATGACTTTGCACTTTGCTGGTGGGAGCATTTGTGTGTGTGCTTTGGTGTTGTCTATGTGCATCCTAGTCATAGATAGAACGGGTGTGTGTTCACTATGTTGGTAGCCCCTCAATGCTATATTTTGAGTTAATAAAAATACTCTTTATATTAAAAAAAATATCCAAGAAAAACTAAATCTTATTTCAAATTAACATGAGCAAAGGATAGTATGAATCTGTTACATCTTGGTGCTTGATCAACACAAAAAATCTACAGCAATTCTCGAGAAATTACATTTGGTATTTCCACAATGACACGACATCAATCAAAGGGACTTATTTCCAAAATGAAATAAAGTACACTTAGCAATAATGGGGACATGCATGGTTTCTTCACCGGATCCCAACAGACCCATCTTTCATGCTCACTGTTGACCTGATCGAAGACCTGGTATTACTTATACCTTGTTAATTTACATTATCGAAAATGTGTAGCATAAACTAAATGGTAGTGCAGATATTTAGTGAATTACTACAATAAAAATATTAAATAAAAGATAACTATCTAACTAAATTGAGAAGGAACAAATTAATAAGTTAAGTTTGCATTTAGTTGCACATTGCAATGTATCCTCATCCTGTCATTTTACCCTACAAGAGTGGCAAAATGCCTTCTTTAATTTGCAGATCTTATATGGCTTAAATTAACAAACCGGTAAGGCCATGCTTGTTAGAATGCAATACGGAGTATTAGGGTAAAGACAATAGTACAACCGGCAACTGGCTATATAAAACTGCCATGTCATCAAAACCAGCCTTATTAATTACACATATAATAGAGTTGGCTATACGGTTAGATATTAGATTAGTGGTTTCCTTTTAGTTGCTCTCTTTTTTCTTCTCATGTAATGTTTTTACCTTGGAGCATGCGTTGAGACTGACTCTTGCATGAGAGCTCACTCTTTTTTTTTCTCTCATTCACATAGGCAAAAATGTCATGTAAGTGGACTTATAGCCCCTTCCATAATTCTTATAGTGGTTTTAGTTGAAATTGAATGGAGCGAGTACTATACTTGCTCTTTCGGGATCCCAATAAATGTCTTTCCTCTATACACAGTTGCAAACTTGCACATATAAGAACAAAGAGACTATTCCGTCTTCCTTTCCTCTCCTAGCCTATTTTTCTGAAAGAAAAATTCCTTACTTTAATATTGAACCCTGGCCCACACACACAGTATCTAACTTTTAGGGAGGTGTACCGAAGCAAAACTCAAACTTCCTTTCGTAATGAATGTTAAAGTGTACATAGTAAAACAAAAATATAACTCCATAAAAACTATGACAGCAAATTTTGAATTTATAAGTATATATCAAGGAAGTAAATTATACAATATACATGAATATGAGTGTAATTTCGCCAGTTGAATATTTATTGTTCAGAGACACCAACGAGAAACTACAAGGATATATACGTTTCCATGAAATTGTTTCATGTAAGTAGAGCCTGTGGGTCATTGTTTTCATACCTTGTTTGCAATTCAGTTTATTCCGTTGAGGGTGTCAATAATTTTTTCTATAGTGGGTCTGCCTTTCCGATCGATAGTAACACATTCCAGCCCAATTTTGATGCATCGCTTAACTTGATTGAGGCAATCTGGGGTTAAACTTGAGTACTTGAGTGTTATGTACTCCTCTGTCCAATTTTTTTGTACCTACATGCAAAAATGGAATCACGATGGCTGGTGAAAAATATATGCCATACAAACTAAATTTAGGTAAGCTTCGATTTCCGTAGTCGGACAATCATTTAATATTTCCTCTTACATTATCAATAAAATTTCTTGCGGACGGTTGGTTGGTTTCAGGACAATTCTTCTCTCCTGTGGTGATCTCAATTATGAGTAGGCCTAAACTATATATGTCTGATTGCGCTGAGATTTCACCCCTGTATAGATATTCTGGAGCCATATATCCACTGCATGTCATTAAATTTAAAGGATTAGTCAATACGGAAGAGGTAAAATGTAGTTTGCATTATAACAAAGAATACTATTTTAGAATTTCATGATGGGCTTACTATGATCCCACGACAGTCTGTGTGCACAATCGGGTTTGTGCTTCGCCAAAGACTCTAGAGAGTGCAAAGTCCGCAATCTTAGGCATCATATCTTCATCCAACAATATATTCTCGGGCTTCAGATCCATATGGATTATGGGAATATCTAATTTGTGTAGATAACGTAACCCCTTGCAGATCCCCTTGATTATTTTGAAACGTGTATCCCAATCGATAATGAGTTTACCTGAAGAGACAAGAAGCCGGCTTACTTTTCCAAAATAAATTCAAATAAACTATTGCAGCGACGTCAAAACTCTAAGTAATCTACAAATTAAAGTGATGCCCTAACTCCATACTCAAAAATCTTACCATTAAAAGAAACTAGAAGAGAATGCAGAATATGTCAAATAATGTTGTACATACCAAATAGATTCTTTGCAAGGTCCCCTTTAGGTAAATATTCATAGCAGAGTACACTTTCAGTAACATCTGCCTGAATATATCGATGATCGAACTGCACCAATTTCTTTGTTGTTTCACTGCAGTATCCAACCATTTTTACAATGTTTGGGTGTTTGAGCACCATAATATTCTGAACCTCATTTATAAATATCTTGCCAGCTGGCATTGGTGCGTTTTCCTGAAGTTTCTTCACAGCAATCACTGTGCCATCATCTGGATTAATTCCCTGTTTAATTTCACAGATACACTATATGTAAGTATATTTTTTATCAACTTTAGTTGAAATTGAGGACAAATAAATATTAAGGAAAATCTGACCTTGTAAAGTTTTCCAAATGCACTTTCACTAATTTCTCGCTCCTTAGAGAAGTCATTTGTAATTTTCTTCACAAAATCGTAGGGTAGTTCTGCCGGTAGTTGCAGGTTACTACTTCCGGCGGCCATCTCTGATGATTTAGAAAACATGAGCAGACACAAGATGTGAAATAATTGCGCTATAACTTTTTATCTCAACAAAGCAGCAGAGCTGTTCAACAGCGTATACAAGACTAAAAATACAAGCGTATATATAGAGATTACAGAACGATCATCTAGAAGGGAAGGACTTGGCATGATGGTTCTGCAGAGATCTAAAAAGAACATGCTTCATTAAAGCACTGACCTTGAGAGGAACAATAGCTTGCGGGATCCTTGCTGGGAAGAGAGAAACGAAATCTCTGTCTCTTTGGCTCCTTGCTACTCCTTGAAGCGGACTTAGCAAGTACTCCCAGAGATCTGAGTACTTGCTAGCTAGCTGCAGGCGTACATATGTGGATCGAGGAGGAAGAAGGGTAAGTTGACTTGAGTGGGGCCTAAGCTGAGTCTTTCGACAGGTCGAGATAACAAACAATACGTGCCCATTGGGTCCATGTGACTAGATGCTAATGGTGGTTGCAGCCTTGCAGCCTTGGATACTGAAATTAATAACAAGGAACTGTTGGACAGAATATTTGAACGGCATCTATGAATTCTTCCGTCTCCATTGATAATATCACGTGGGCTGCTTTGGTAACATTGGCAGGTTGGTTATTATAACCATGGATCGCTTAGGTTGGTCATAGTGGGGAGTAACTTAGACTAGTAACATGCATATGTTACTAGGCTATGTTACTACCTTTATAATGGATAGTAACATATGGATGGTAACATGCAAGCCTTTATTAATTGAGATATAGACTCATTTTACCTCAGGGTGTGTTACCACAAGCATCTCTCTCCTCATTAACTCCATGCCACATAAGTAAATTTGCCTTGGGATGTGTTATGTTACTACCTAGGGAATGGTGTAATTAAGTTAATGGCAAACACGATGTCATATTAAGTAGCAATTAGCATCATGAAGTAAACTAGTAATATGTAGTTTTTTTTTTTCGGAGAAGTAATACGTAGTTGTTAGTTGCACACAAGTGGCATTAAGCATATTCATTCGGTAGATACATCTGACAGCTAGCGTACGAATATGGTGTACTAGTTATCTAAATAAAGAGACATTGAATGTGCAGTCTACTCGTTAAGTGCATTGGGTTGGGTTTACTTGGAGTCCGGAGTTCTGCCCATTAGATTAAGAAAATACAGTCTGGCATTTTCGTCTCTTCCCAACAGACCAAACCATCTCTACATGTGAACATGTAGGACTAAATGAGGACGTGGGGTGATGTGGATATCTTTTGATGGTGGTCGTCGTTACACTCCACTGGGTTTAAATTGCACTAGGAGGTTCGCCATTAGTTTATGACAAGATAGTCTTGCAATTTCTTCCTTCTTTTTTTGCGGCAAAGATAGTCTTGCAATTTGGTCTCTTCCAAAACACAATGGATTATACCTTGTTCGTAGGCGTGCATGTGACATAGCCATACATACGTGTAGATCTTGTCCCCAGGAGTCAATTGCTCAAAACCATCACATTTGGAGCATCGTTTGCAGAGAACCACGAGTTCACTAATTTTTTACAAAAATCACCGCGTATTCAGTAAACCTTTTGCAAAAAACACTGATAGGGGGATTTAGCTCGTTTGATCACTTTCTGACAGCGGGGCCGGATAATAAGAAGCTGATTTGAAAAAAAAATGAACAACGGGCTTTTTCATAAATAAGAGAAACGTGAAGGATGAAAACATAAAATATTCAAAGGATAAGGCTATCTTCTCCTTCTCCCGTGTACGAGCTCATGGCCGGCGTGTACAGAGGAGCTTGTTCCCTGTTGTTCCTTGCTCATGGCCGCATCCAAGGACCCCCGCCGGGGCCGGAGCTCCGCCAACCGCCTCCATTGATCGGATCCGCCTTAGTCGCCCCTACACCGCCTGCCTTCATATCTGCTTCAAGCCCGGCCGTCAAGCTCCAGAGATCGAGCGGATCGATCGATCCACCGAGCATCTGCAACCCTAATCCACGCGGACCTTGCCGCCGGCGCCTCTCTTTCCACGAGGGGTCGACGAGCTCGAAGTGCCTCGCCCCTGCCCATGAGGGGCCGACGAGCTCGAAATGCCTCGCCCCTGCCCACGAGTAGCCTACGAACTCGCAGCTGCGTCACATTCGACGAGTCTCTGGTGGCACCTGGGCGTGTGCATCCACAGGAGCGAGCTCCTCCAACACAACAGATGACCCTAGGTACGTGCATGGAGGTTGGCCCCCATCCACGGTGTCGAGCGACACCGGGCATCCCCGGTAGACGGCCGAGGCGCGGCCACGGCATCCCGTAGGGCGCCGTCGTGGCTTGAAGGCAGAGCTCCCGGCGGTTGCCTCCGTGAAGTCCACGTCGTGGACGCTGCACGGGAGTTGCCCTCCGCGAGGGAGGGAGGGTTGATTGCTTTTATTTTTAAGATTTAAGGGTGTATATGTAAATGTTTTGCCAAGTCAGCTCCCGACAATTCAGCCCCACTTGTCAGAAAGTGATCAAACGATCTAAATCACTTGACCAGTGCTTTTTGCAAAAAGTTTACTGAATGTGCGGTGTTTTGCAAAAAATTAGTGACCTAGTGGTTTTCTGCAAACGATGCCAGCAATGTGGTGGTTTTGTGCAATTAACTCTGCCCCCCGCAACCATAAAAAAGGTGTATATCTTATCTTTTTTTATTGCGGGGGTTGTATATCTTATCTGGCCAAGTTAATGAACCAATAAAGAAAGGAAGAAGCAGGACTCAAGAGGGAAAATGATTGTTGGCTCTCAAAATTCCGGTGAATCTCAATTTTAGTTTTTCTCTAAAAAATCCTGGAAGGGGTCAAGCGTTCGATGCTTTTTTTTCCTGCTCGGCTTGAAGCAGGCCCAGCAATCCAAAAAGGAAAAAACGGGCTTGAACCTTGAAGCCCATCAACTTAGCAGACTAGCCCATATACTAGTAAGTTAGTCCACTATTGAAGACACACAACCAGCTTGGTCGCGCAAATGCTATCTCTTGCCAGCTGCGAGTTTATAATAGGCTTGTCCAAAACTATAGCTGCAAGCAAGTTTTTTCCCCTGTGGTTATTTTCGGCCTTTTCACTGTCTTGCATCTGATTTCTATGGTTTTTCCTTAGTTTCCTTCAGGTTTTATTTTTTCTCTTTACTTCATTCTTTTTTCTTCATTTTTATTTGTATGATTCTTGATTTTCTCCAGTTTTTCTTGGGTTTTATTTTTTATTTCCTTTTTTCAGTACATGTCTAATTTTTATTTGCAGTATATATTTTTCATAAACATCAGTAATATCTCATATAAATTTTTTATATTTTTCAAATATATGATTAGTATTTTCTAAAATAATTGTTTAAATGATTCTTTTTCATACACAATACACATTTTCATGTACATATAAAATATTTCTTACATATGTTAAACAATTTTCTAATACATGATTAACATTTTTTTTCCAATAAGAGCTTTGAATATGTTTTATGAATAAGAGCTAATGTTTTTTAAAAAAACGTTAAAACATTTTATGAATGATGCAAAATATCATTTAAAACTAAATAAACAATTTTTGAAAAACTGAGCGAATATTCTTTTAATATAAGTTTAAAAATAAGCGAACTTCTTTTAATGTGTCGCAAACATATTTTTGAATCACTGAACATTTTATCAAATGTAATGCACATTTTTTTGAATGCTATGAAACATGTTTTTGAATTATACGGAGATTTTTTATAAGATTTTCCAAAAAAAGTCATGTACATTTTCATGAAACGCATGAACATTTTTGAAATGCCACATTCAATTTTTTCCCGAATAGTACAATTATTTTCTCTAAGTTGAGAAAACATTTGTTTTTGACAAATTACCTAATTCTTTTTCCATAAGATATGTACTGATTATATGTTTTCCTGAGGTTCTTCCTAGCATTTTCACCCGTCTTGCATTTGCTTTCTAAGGTTCTAGTTTTCTTTGGTTTCTCTTTTTTTCCCTTTTTTTTCTATATTTCCGTTTCCTCAGGTTTCTTTGTCTCTTTATTCGGTTTTCACCAGCTTTCTTCGGGTTTTTATTTTATTTTTATTTCTTCCCTTTTTTAAAACATGTCTAATTATTGCATACATATTGTACATTTTTCATATACTTTAGCAATATTTTTATACACGTTTTTTCTGAATACATGATTAAAAGTTTTTTTTTCAAATATGTGATTTGACTGCTTCTTTAATAAACAATGTACATTTTCGTATGCATCTAAATATTTTTTAATATTTTAAATTTTTTATTTATATGATTAACATATTTTTCAAATATGTGTCTTGAATATTTTTCGAATCCGTGCTAATCATTTTAGATACAAGTTGCAACATTTTGGAATGATATAAAAAGTATTTTAAACTAACCTAACAATTTTGAAGTGTAACAAATATATTTTTTAAACGCATGCTCATTTTTTGAATGTTGCAGAATTTTTTTGAATGGTATGGATATTTTTTTGAATTACACGAAGCTTTTTTAATTGTGTAAGATTTTCCAAAAAAAACTTATGTATGCTAACTTTGAAATGCATGAACATTTTTTAAATGTCACATACAATATGTTGAGTGGTACAAATATTTTTTGATAGTTGAGGATGCTTTTTTTTACACAAAATGAACATTTTTAAAATGTGCGAATAACACTTTTAAATTGATTAAGTTGATTATTTTATCATAATATATGTATTTATAATTTTCAAAACATGTAAACAAAATAAAGAAGGAAATTCGGATGACGTCAACATGAGGAAAGCATAGGGCTACATGGCCAGCCCACTACATAGCGGTTGCATTAGCACTTGAATTAGCATAGAGAGGTGTATTTTTTTATGGGCCGCATGCACAATCATGGATGAATGTTTTAGATTCAGTAAACTATGGCTCATGCTGGCCCATGTGTTATGTCTGATTTCCATGTTGCTAGTCCTGTATGAGTTGTTGGATTTCTCTGAAGAGGAATAGTGATGTAGTAAAGCAACCAAAGTAT